GCCAAGCAAATGGAAAGCAGAAAAATCAGCAGTTGCAATCCTAGTCTCTGATAAAACAGAATTTAAACCAACAAAGATCAAAAGAGAAAAAGAAGACCATTACATAATGGCAAAGAGATCAATTCAACAAGAAGAGCTAACTATCCTAAACATATATGCACCCAATACAGGATTACCCTGATTCCAAAAGCAAGTCCTTAGAGACCTACAAAGAGACTTACCTCCCACACAATAATAATGGGAAACTCTAACACCCACTGTCAATATTAGACAGATCCACAAGACAGAAGGTTAACAAGGATATCCAGGACTTGAACTCAGCTCTGCACCAAGCTGACCTAATAGACATCTACAGAACTTTCCACCCCAGATCAACAGAATATACATTCTTCTCACACCTCATCACACTTATCCAAAAAATTGACCACATAATTGGAAGCAAAGCACTCCTAAGCAAATGTATAAGAACAGACATCACAACAAACTGTCTCTCAGACCACAGTGCAATCAAATTAGAACTCAGGATTAAGAAGTTCACTCAAAACCACACAACTACATGGAAACTGAACAACCTGCTCCTGAATGACTACTGGGCAAATAACAAAATGAAGGCAGAAATAAAGATGTTCTTTGAAACCAATGACACAATGTACCAGAATCTCTGGGACACATTTAAAGCAGTGTGTAGAGGGAATTTATAGCACTAAATGCCCACAAGAGAAAGCAGGAAAGATCTAAAATCGACACCCTAACATCACAATTAAAAGAACTAGAGAAACAAGAGCAAACACATTCAAAAGCTAGCAGAAGGCAAGAAATAACTAAGATCAGAGCAGAACTGAAGGAGATAGAGACACAAAAATCTCTTCAAAAACATCAGTGAATCCAGGAACTGGTTTTTTGAAAAGATCAACAAAATAGATAGACTTCTAGCAAGACTAATAAAGAAGAAAAGAGAGAAGAATCAAATAGACGGCAATAAAAAATGATAAAGAGGATATCACTACCGATCCCACAGAAATAAAAACTACCATCGGAGAATACAATAAACACCTCTACACAAATAAACTAGAAAATATAGAAGAAATTGATAAATTCCTGGACATATACACCTTCCCAAGACTAAACCAGGAAGAAGTTGAGTCTCTGAAAAGACCAATAACAGGTTATGAAATTGAGGCAATAATTAATAGCCTACCAGCAAAACAAGTCCAGGACCAGATGGATTCACAGCCGAATTCTACCAGAAGTACACAGAGAAGCTGGTACCATTCCATCTGAAACTATTCCAATCAGTAAAAAAAAGAGGGAATCCTCCCTAACTCATTTTAAGAGGCCAGCATTATCCTGATACCAAAGCCTGGCAGAGACACAACAAAAAAGGAGAATTTTAGAACAATATCCCTGATGAACATCAATGCAAAAATCCCCAATAAAATACTGACAAACCAAATCCAGCAGCACATCAAAAAACTTATCCACCACGATCAAGTCAGCTTCATCCCTGGGATGCAAACCTGATTCAACATACACAAATCAATAAATGTAATCCATCCCATAAACAGAACCAACAACGAAAACCACACGATTATCTCAATAGTGCAGAAAAGGTATTGATGGAACATATCTCAAAATATTAAGAGCTATTTATGACAAACCCACAGCCAATATCATACTGAATGGGCAAAAACTGAATGCATTCCCTTTGAAAACAGGCACAAGACAAGGATGCCCTCTCTCACCACTCCTATTCAACATAGTGTTGGAAGTTCTGGCCAGGGTAATCAGGCAAAAGAAAGAAATAAAGGGTATTCAATTAGGAAAAGAGGAAGTCAAATTGTCTCTCTTTGCAAGTGACATGATTGTATATTTAGAAAACTCCATCTTCTCAGTCCCAAAACTCCTTAAGCCAATAAGCAACTTCAGCAAAGTATCAGGATACAAAATCAATGTGCAAAAGTCACAAGCATTCCTATACACCAATAACAGACAGAGAGTCAAATCATGAGTGAACTCCCATTCACAGTTGCTACAAAGGGAATAAAATACCTAGAAATCCAACTTACAAGGGACACGAAGGACCTCTTCAAGGAGAACTACAAACCACTGCTCAATGAAATAAAAGAGGAGACAAACAAATGGAAGAACATTCCATGTCATAGATAGGAAGAATCAATATCATGAAATTGGCCATACTGCCCAAGATAATTTATAGATTTAATGCTATCCCCATCAAGCTACCAATGACTTTCTTCACATAATTGGAAAAACAACATTTAACTTCATATGGAACCAAAAAAGAGCCCACATAGCCACGACAATCCTAACCAAAAAGAACAAAGCTGGAGGCATAATGCTATCTGACTTCAAACTATACTACAAGGCTACAGTAACCAAAACAGCATGGTACTGGTACCAAAACAGATATATAGACCCATGGAAGAGAACAGAGGCCTCAGAAATAACACCACCACATATCTACAACCATCAGATCTTTGACAAACCTGACAAAAACAAGCAATAGCAAAAGGATTCCCTATTTAATAAATGGTGCTGGGAAAACTGGCTAGCCATATGTAGAAAGCTGAAACTGGATCCCTTCTTTACACACTATACAAAAATTAACTCAGGATGGATTAAAGACTTAAATGTAAGACCCAAAACCATAAAAACCCTAGAAGAAAACCTAGGCAATACCATTCAGGACATAGGCATGGGCAAAGACTTCATGACTAAAACACCAAAAGCAATGGCAAAAAAGAAGCCAAAATTGACAAATGAGATCTAATTAAACTGAAGAGCTTCTGCACAGCAAAAGAAACTATCATCAGAGTGAACAAGCAACCTACAAAATGGGAGAAAATTTTTGCAATCTACCCATCTGACAAAGGGCTAATATACAGAATATACAAAGAACTTAAACAAATTTACAAGAAAAAAACAACTCCATCAAAAAGTAGGCAAAGGATATGAAGTGACACTACTCAAAAGAAGACATTTATGCAGCCAACAGACACATGAAAAAATGCTCATCATCACTGGTCATCAGAGAAATGCAAATCAAAACCACAATGAGATACCATCTTATGCCAGTTAAAATGGCAATTATTAAAAAGTCAGGAAACAACAGATGCTGGAGATGATGTGGAGAAATAGGAAAACCTTTACAGTGTTGGTGGGAGTGTAAATTAGTTCAACCATTGTTGAAGACAGTGTGGTGACTTCTCAAGGATCTAGAACTAGAAATACCATTTGACCCAGTGATCCCATTACTGGGTATATACACAAAGGATTACAAATCATGCTACTATAAAGACATATGCACACGTATGTTTATTGCAACACTATTCACAATAGCAAAGACTTTGAACCAACCCAAATGTCCATTGATGATACACTAGATTAAGAAAATGTGGCAAATGTACACCATGGAATACTATGCAGCCATAAAAATGGATGAGTGTATGTCCTTTGCAGGGACATGGATGAAGCTGGAAACCACCATTCTCAGCAAACTATCACAAGGACAGAAAACCAAACACTGCATGTTCTCACTCATAGGTGGGCGTTGAACAGTGAGAACACATGGACACAGGGAGGCAAACATCACACACCAGGGCCTGTTGGGGGGTGGGGGGCTGGGGGAGGGATGGCATTAGGACAAATATCTAATGTAAATGACGAGTTGATGGGTGCAGCAAACCAACATGGCACATGTATACCTATGTAACAAACATGCATGTTGTGCACATGTACCCTAGAACTTAAAGTTTTTCTTAAAAAGTTAATTTTGTATATGTATACATTTATTAGGTATAATAATGTATGCGGTATAGAGTTGTTAAAAAAATTCAAATATAATTTACACAATGTAACATTTGTTTACATACATTTCAAGATATCCAAATAGGCCGGGCACAGTGGCTCACACCTGTAATACCAGCACTTTGGAGTCCAAGATGCATGGATCACCTGAGGTCAGGAGTTTGAGACCAGCCTGGCCAACATGGTGAAACCCCATCTCTACCAAAAATACAAAATTAGCTGGACGTGGTGGCATGCACCTGTAATCCCAGCTACTCCGAAGGCTGAGGCAGGAGAATGGCTTGAACCCAGCAGTCAGAGGCTGCAGTGAGCCGAGATCACACCACTGCACTCCAGCCTGGGCAACAGAGCGAGAATCTGTCTTTAAAAAAAAGAAGAAGAAGAAGAAGAAAATGTACAAATAGTTAAGTCCTTTTAGTGTATTCGCTATGTTGTGCAACCATCAACACTATCTAATTCCAGGATGTTTCCTTCATTACAAAAATAAACCTGTATTTATTGTCAGTCAGAACAATTCCTCTCACCCCCAACCTCTCTTAGCCACTGATCTACATTCTTTCTGTATGGATTTGACTGTTCTAGACATTTCATATAAACAGAATTGTACTATACATGGCCTGTTGTGACTGGATTCTTTCACCTAGCATGATGTTTTCAAGGTTCATTTATGTCACAGTATGTAATATCGCTTCATTCTTTAAGACTGAATAATCGTATGTACATACCACATTTTGCCTACTTATCTATCAGTTGATGGGCCTTTGGATTGTGTATGTTTAGTATTAAGTGTCAACTTGATTGGATTGAAGGATTCAAAGTATTGTTCCTGGGTGTGTCTGTGAGGGTGTTGCCAAAGGAGATTAATAATTGTGTCAATGGACTAGGAGAGGCAGACCCATCCTCAGTGTGGGTGGGCACCATCCAATCAAATGCCAGTTTGAAGTAAAGCAGGAAGAAGAAGGTGGAAGAAGGTGGGAGAGGCCAATTTGCTGAGTCTTTCAGCCTTCATCTTTCTCCCATGCTGCATACTTCCTGCCCATGAACATCAGACTCCAAGTTCTTCAGCTTTTGGACTCTTGGACTTTACACCACTGGTTTGCCAGGGGCTCTTAGGCCTTCGGCCACAGACTGAAGGCTGCACTGTTGGCTTCCCTGCTTTTGAGGTTTTGGGACTCAGACTGGCTTCCTTGTTCCTCACCTTGTAGATGGCATATTGTGAGAGTCCACCTTGTGATCATGTGAGTCAATATTTCTTAATAAACTCCCCTTCATATATGCATCTATCCTATTAGTTCTGTCCCTCTAGAGAACCCTAAGTGATACAGATTGTCTTTACTTTGGGCTATTATGAATAGTGTTGCTGTGAATATGAATGTACAAGTGGAATTGCTGGGTCATATGACAGTCCTTTGTTTAACTTTTTAAGTAACTGCTAAACTGTTTTCCTGGGGTATGGAACTTTAAGGTGGCCTTCATGGTCCCTATCTCCTGGTATTTATGTAACCCCCTCTCCTTGAGTATAGGCAGAAACTGTGACCTGCTTCTGACCAATTGCAAAGGCAATGAAGTGTCACTCTCTTCAGTATGTGAGATAACATAAAACTGTCTAACTCGATAATTCACTCTAGACTTTCTCTCTCTCTCTCTCCATTGCTTATTTTGAAGTAGCAAGCTGCCATAAGTCAATAACTACAAGGAAATACATTCTGGCAACTACCTGAGTGATCTTGGAAGCAGTTTCTTCCACTGTTGAGCCTATACATGATGACACAACTTGACTAACACTTTGAATGTAGTCTTGTGAGACCCTCAGCAGAGGATTGAATAAGCTATATCAGTACTCTGATCCACAGAAACTGTGAGATAATAACCACATATCATTTCAAGTCTCCAAATTTGTATAATTTGTTACCCAGCATAGAAAACTAATGTAGCATGCTAGCAATTGTTTTTATTCAAATAGTATTTTCTGACACAGGTGATGTCATATTCTTTGACTTTCTTCTTTAGTATTTATATAAATGATTTTATGTTATGGTCTCACTAAGGTTGAAATTGTCTCCAAAGCTGCATTTCTTATGAGAAACATAGCTGCCATCTGTGTTTTCTTAATTTTATGGAAAATGGCTTTAATATTTCAATATTTGATATGTTACAACTAACTATATATAACTAGAACAAATTTTATCTATAACTAATCTTCATATTTTATTTCCACTTTTGTTACGGTTCTTCTTAGGAATTGCTGGTCCCCCTAAAACTCAACAACGACATTTCCGTACCTATCTACATGATCACATGCAGTTTTTTCTTCTAATTTGTTTGCACAAGGAATTATGTAGGTAGGTGTCTTGATGTTGAATATTTACTTTTTTGCTAAGATACACTTCACTTTGACATGGTGCAAAATGCTTTTGGTTCACAGCTGCCGTTTTTCCCCCCCTGGAACTCATCAAAATCTGGACAGAGATTTAAATGATGGCAACTTGAGCATGTCTTCCTGATATCCTTTCCCACCATCCTCTCTGGAAGGTGTAAAGATGACTGAAGCTAGAGGTTGTCGATTACTCTAGAATATGACCAGGCCCAATGGGTCCTATTGCCTCTGTACTGACTGTATTGGGCTGAAGACTAGCTGCAGAGAGGCCTTCAGCTAGTGCCCCAGCAGCAGAGTCAGGTTGTCTGGCGTGCTCACAGCTGGCTCACGGGATGAGACATGACTGTGCCTTCCAACCTTGCTCCCCACTCTTTCACAAACATTCCAACCTGATGGTGCCTTTGCTGAAATTATAGAGAAAAATGAGCAAGAAAAAAAATTATAACAACATATCTAAGGATTCTCAGGGAGAAGGATGTGCCTTTAGAAAAGATGACCTCTATTGACATTGAATAGATGCAAGAGTTCAAAGAGAACTTTAAAAATAAGATATACTATGAAAACAAGTCATTTAGAGACCGAGACAAAGGACTTTCTGGAAATAAAAATATATGATTTATAAATTTTAATAAACTGAAAAGGGTATAGGTGTAGCTCAATACCAATTTAGATCTTAAAAATCCAGTGGACAAATGGGTTTGCAACACAGAACAAACACACAGAGTTTGAATCCCTAATTCAAAGTGCTAAGCCTCTTCATTTTATTGCTGTCTGCAAACCTGAATCAACAGTGACTAAACTTCACAATCCCATATTATGATTCAAAAAATGTCAAACCCCAAGTAAAATTATTGAGGTAAATTCCAGCTTCAGATACCTAATGAGGTATTCATAGATTAAAGACTTAATATTTTATTTTATGATCCCCTCAGTGTGATACAAAGGAACCACAAAAGAACATTAAACTACAAATTCATAGTTTGCTGCTGGTAGTATTGGTGGTGGTGGTGGTGGTGGTGGTGATATGTGTGTTTTCCCATATTTTAGATGTCTCCTGTCTCAGAGAAACGGCAACTGTCTTCCCCAAAGACTGTTTAAGCACAAACGGGACTTTTTGCTCCCTCATTGTTGTTTGTCACACAAATAAGTTGCTTTTGTTTTTTGTGCTACTGCATTATTAAGGCTGAATTTCTTTTCAAATAAAAATCTGACTCAAGGGAGTGAACAGCTCCATGCTCTAAGCAGGGTTAACCACTGTTTTCAAAAGCTCTGGCAAGGAGATGGAAGCTTGGAAGTAAATTGAAAGACATAATTTACAAAATGCTTGGGGCAAACCTCACTGAGAAGGACATAAATGGATGGTGGCTCCAGGAGTTTAAGCAGAAGAGGTAGTAGTGACATTGGGGTTTGTCTTTTCACTACATCAAAGTGCACCTACCTCTCTCCAGTAAGTCTGGGATACAGCTGGCCAGAGGCACATTAAGACCACATGCAAAAAGCAGAAAAACAGGAACTGAACACCAAGTTCAACAAAAGAGGGAGAAATAAGTGAAGGGACCAGGACTGAGTGCCACGTTTGGCTCTGAGATTTACCAGAAGGTAACCTCAGAAAGAAATAAAACATGGTGAATTACTTAGTCCTTATTATCAAAAAGGATGAAGTCAACCTTGCTTGGCATTACCTGTAATATAAATTTCTCAAATGAGACTTTACACAGGGGGCAATGAACAAGAAGCCTATCAACACACAAAAGTAGATGATTAAAGTGGTACTTCTGAAGTGCTATGATCATCATCTTCACTAGGGCTTTGTAAATTATTTCTTTCCATGGGATTAAAAAATTTAATGAACAATATCTCTCTTCTGTTTTGGCTTTAGGAATCAGGTTGTTATTGGTGAAACTGTGCCCCTCCCACACCCCGAATTCACATGGTGATGTGTTAACCCGCGGTACCTCACAATATGACCTTATTTGGAGATAGGCATTTTACAGAGGTAATCAAGTAAAAATGAGGTCATTAGGAAGGCCCTAACCCAGGACGACAGTGTCCCCTATAAGAAGGAGGAAATTGGACATAGACATGCAGAGGCGAGCGTCATGGGAAGATGAAGCCAGAGATCAGGATATTGCTTCAACATGCCGAAGAACACCAAAGACTTCCAGAAAACCACCAGGAATTCGGTGAGAGGGATGGAATAGCTGCTCCCTCACAGCTCCTCAAAGGAACCACCCCTTCTAGCTTCCAGAGCTGTTGGATGATAAATGTACATTACTTAAGCCACTCAGTTTGTGGTACTTCGTTATGGCAGCCTAAGAAACTAATACTCAGGTTGTTATAATGTCAGCCTGAGCCATCCTGCACATCCATTTTCTCTGGCAGTGACCATTTCTGATCAGGGAGTGAATAGAAGATTCTAGTTATTCAATTAAAAACAAAATAATTGAGAGAGGAATGCAGTTAAGATAATTCCAAGAACAGCCCATGACTTGGAACATTTTCCCAGTGCCCAGCTTCCACAGCAGTGATGTGTTCACATCAGGCCAGATTCTTCAATAAAAAGTTCACATTTCTATAGTAAAAAGTTCACATATTTTCTTTCGTCTTGTCCTATTTTATATTGGTTCCCCTTTATGACAAGAGTCTAGAGACCAGAAAGAACTGGTCCAGGACCAAATTAAATAAAGCTTGAAATCTCTGTCACTTACCTGATCCCTAATTATGGGTAGAGAAGCCCTGCACACAAGCTTTTTCCAGCTCAGGTAATGCTGCTGTATGGCCGCAGCAACTTTTTTATGACTTGGCTAAATTATGCCAAGTATTTGCTTGGTGTCACATTTATGAGCTTACTTAAGAATCTTTTGTGCAAATGTTTCGAAGGCTTACTTGATGGACTAGCTCCAGAACTAGATTCCTGGGGCCCATTGCACAGTGTTTGAATAAGGCCAAAAGGTAAAATGTGTCTCCTAGTTGTTTTCTTGTATCTTCCCTCCCTCTTCTCCCCCTGCAGAGATGTCTTCTTTCCTCCTTTCATACTGGTCTTCTAACAAGTTAGCTACTTACCAATAAGCAAAATTCCCTTGAATATCTGCCATTGTTCAGTGTTTTCCTGGGCTGGGGGCTGATCTCTATGGAGAGGCTTTACGTTTTAGAACACGTACAAAGCTTCTATGCCTTGTGGTGGTGATGATGATGGTGGTGGTGGCATGTGTGTGTGTTTCTGAGAGAGAACTACTCCTCTGGCCACCTATTGAGTGAGTCCAAATATCTCAGCCTTGCAAGCAACTGCCTAGAATGTTCGATTCCAACAGTCTCTCTCCCAAAGAAAATTTTAGCTATGACATATTTGCCAGTTGATTGTACAGCTCTGATCAAACCATTCCTGTGTTAAAGTGAGATCTGCCTTTCAGGTAGCCCATAAAATTTCACCTCGTTCTCATTGTTGGAAGTTCTTTCATAAATCCAGCTAAAACTACTTGCTTGCCTCCTGGAATCTCACTTATATAGGCATGCATTTACAACAAAGTGAATCAGAAGGCCAAATTAACTCTTAGTCACTCAGACATAAAATCCTCCTGATTCTTTACTCAGATGCAAGGGCCACCTTGGTCAAAATACCCTCAATTATCTGTATGATTTGTGTCCAGATTCCATCTTCTCCTTTATTCTATACATCACGAAATCTCATCTCACTGACTTCCCATGAGGGTGGCTCAGGCCCAGACTGGACTGGGTGACTTCCACCAAGTTATATGGCTGTGAATGTTAGAGTCAGAGGAGATTTTAAAAATCTATCATCTCCATGATGCAAAATATAAACATGGCCTGTGGATCCCAGAAGTTCTAGAGATGATGCCTATGTGCAAGGCTTTAGAAGACAAATACCAGGATTAGCAAGAATAAAGACGTGCCACACAGGAGAAGAAAAAAATCTAGACAGGAAGACTGACTCCCATGCCATCCTCTACAAGGGCAAAGGAGCCTTCAGAGACTGACATTTTGGTGCATCAGGAGGTATTTCTGCTTCCACGTGAGATTTACCGACTATAAAAATGATTAGATTCTGTGTTCCATAATTTAAAATTATGATCCTGTAACATTATAAGGAAGTGTCTGGTAAGACGTGTCTGCTCTTCAAACATTTCAGGCATGCTGCAGATGGCTGAGATAGGAATTGGAGGTGGGGTTGTGACAGAAAGGTGGTGTTGCATGATGCCTTCTCCAGAAAAAGTGTTGCATAGGCCTGCTGACCCAGGGAGAGGTTACACAAACATCTGGCCTTGGGTCAGAGAGGGTTCTGTGAGCTCCAGTTACTCACTTAATAGTCACCGTTTTACATAATCCCATCATTTTGTAAATCATTTCATTGATACCAGCACTTTCACAGAATTGTTTTATTTGAACAACTCAGAGGAAGGCCACAACAGAGGGTCCCAAGTTTTTGATAGATGAGAAAATTGAGAAGTTTAGTGATTCTTCCAAAGCCACCAAGGAAGTTTGCAGCAGAGAGAAGTCTTTTACTCCTGATCCTTTATCTTTCTGTTCTTGCTTACACAGGTGAAGGAGGTAGGTTAACCCCCTGGATTATCCTGGTATTGTCCACTTACCCCTTTTGCTCAGTCTCATGTGGCTGTGACCAAGTAGACCACATCCAGGAGAAGTGACCTGCCATCCCACCTCGCAGGCAACTTCACCTCCCCAGCACCATCCTAGCCCTTTGGAAAGACTGAACCGGAATTCCGGACATTCATTAATTTCATTGGAATACTTTTGTGTTCTCCACAAGAGAGTGAAAAATGGCCATTGTGAGAGAAAAATGTCAAATATTCCTACAAGGGCAAAGGCAGAGTCCAGAATCAGAGCTGAATCCTCCTTGTTCCATTTTTATGTGTGAATTCTTAAACCACACAGATTACATTACAAGTTGGGAATGCCTCCACCTGACTAAATATATATGCGTACACGTTGGCATCCATCTCCATTAACATAATATTAGCCATTACGGGAGCATTACAACATCATCCTGCTCACAAATGTGACACAGAACAGAGTGTCACAGACACCTCAATGCACTGGACGCTTAAGTCAAATGGAAAGTTAAAAACACCTTCTGCAAGCAGCCACTGGCATTACTTCATATTTATGTTAGTTTTGCTAATCTAATCGAGTGAACTTTTTCCCTAAGAGAATGTAATAGGAATATTTTATTTGAAAATTTTATGTAGTAAGCAGCTGTCTAAAGTCTTGATTTCTGTTTTCAGTAGGGTAAGTGGCAAATGCAACCAGGAAGAAAAAATAGCAGTTTCCCAAGTGCTAGTGAGAGCAGCAGGCAGTGGAAAATCCATGCAAAGTCTTTCCAGGAAACCATTCCTATGGATCATGGGGGAAGTACTTAAATGCTGGTGTAGAAAAATATATCCATACATTTCTTAATGAGGTTGAGAAAAAGAGTTGGAAAAGCCCCGAGCAATCAGGGAACAGAGGTAGAGAGAGGGAAAGTAGCTTGAAAAAGTCACTAGCAGGAGAAGGATAGCCACAATCAAGGACCTTGACCCTGGCTCCAGGGGACTCTCTGCAGGAATTGCCTACCTTGTGCTAACATCTGGGGTGCATTGCAGGAGGAGAACGCCATTACACCCCCTGCTATTGCTCCAGCCACAGGGATGGCCATGTGCTGCATGGTGACCTACCACATACTATAGTTCCTTTCACTAATACTTGCCTGATCAATTGCATAGCAGATATAGGGTCATGTCACAGGTTCTCTTTTTCTGTCATAGAAATTCAAACAGGACACTAGCATAGTATTTATCTATATCTTGCATGAATTAAATCAGTTGAGCTGGTACAATGAAAAGAGAAAGAATGTGAGGGATAATCAGTCCTGGATTCCTGTCTTTGTTTAGGTACAACTTTGGAAAAATTACCCAATCCCTGAGCCTCTTGAACCAGGAAAATACGTTTATCATAATTTTTCATGAAAATTACATGGTATAATATATAAAACATACCTATCCTGAGGGAGTTGGGAAGTGGGTGTCATTAGTAATTACACATTGGGAATCAAGATATAATCTTAATATATTCTGTTGATGATAGCAACAAGCAATAATCTCATTGGGTGCTATGTTCTGAGGCAGCCTGCATCTTGAATTAGAAGAAGGTGATGGCCTCGGGAACAGAGTAGAGACCTTAAAAAGAAATACATGCACAAAACACCATTTCTGAAGATACTCCCAGGGACCCAGAGCTATAAATTCCAAATATTTCTTCCTTAGTGGTGCCTAATCCACCTGGCCTCACCCATCATACCATGCACCTATTCTTCACTACACCCACCTCTATCTTGGGATCCATGTTCCCCACCTTAGCTCCTGGCATAGGCGCCTTTGTTTAAACACCAGCACATGACATAGAACTTGTCCTACTGGTATTCATCAAACTGGTGTAAAATGAGTGAACTAAGTGACCCAGTTTTGAATCTGCTTTTCATGACAACACTCCAGCATGTTCTTTGATCTGAAATTCAAACTATTGAAGATGGGAGAGAGGAAGGAAAGCAAGTTCAGGGCTTTTATCTCCCTGACTTCCTTCTTTCAGGGCTGCCTTAGGCTGCTTGCGTCCCTCATCAAAGACCAATGCTCCTTGCAGTGGACCCCTCAATACAACACACTCCTCCCAAGTTCCATTTACTGCTCCCTCCATTTGTCAGTTGAGGAGTAGGGGTGGCCACAGCCCTGCTGTTACTAGCCTCCTGTGCATAGCCTCTTGTGATTTTCTTACCTAGAATGGGCACGCATCCCACTTTTCGCAGAACTGGAGTGTTGTGAAACCCTCTCATTGGGATAAGAGGGCTCTCAGTACTAAAACAATCTTGGGCAAACTGGATGGTGAGTCACCCTGCCTACATCCTGCACACACCTTTGTAAATAGCTCCTTTACTAAACCTTCCTTCTATCACTTTGGTTGAAATGAGTCATCCATTTTCTGTTGGGGACCTTGAATAATTCATTATTAAAAATAACACCCTATTTTGTCTTCTGAAAGAATTGTTGACATGAGGCTACCTACAAACACATTCCCTCCTCTAGGGAGAAAGCCCACCTACAATTGGAGATAATAAGGCCGGTACACCGGGGGCAGCAGAGATGAGAGACAGCGGTGGAGGAAATCCCTCTCTCCTCAGGACCCAGAGTCCAGCCCAGGGATGCTGGCTGCTGAAGTGCTTCTTTTTTCTGCAAGGCACTCATGTCTTTCCCAGTCATATCAGTCAACAAATTCCTAACTTGTTTAAAAAAAAAAAAAGGACCACTGTCCCTTCAACAAGTTTTGCCTGAAACAGGTCTGTGTACTTCTGTGTGTAGGCCAGG